TATAAGAGATGCTGAAATCAATATCAGAGGCAACATATTTTCAAAATCTATTCAAATATTGGCGTATGCGGATGATTTAGACATCATTGCATGAACTGTTCCTGCATTAAAAGAAGCTTTCCTTTCTTTGGAGCTTGCTGCTAGGGATATGGGACTAATCATCAATACCGATAAGACCAAATACATGCCTGTACTTGCTAAATTAAATTCTAGTGAATCCTATCTGGAGATTGGTTCCCACAGGTTTCAGACTGTTCAGAATTTTACTTACCTTGGTTCAATTGTTACTGCCGACAATAACATAGACAATGAGATTCGGAGTCGTCTAATTTGTTCAAATAAGGCTTTTTATGGTTTAAAACGTTTTTTCAAATCATCTCTTTTATCAAAAAATACAAAACTTTTACTCTATAAAACATTAATTAGGCCAATACTTACCTATGGCTCTGAGACCTGGAACCTAACTCTAGCTGGTGAAAATGAAATTGCCATTTTTGAGAGAAAAGTTTTGAGGGCCATCCTTGGTGGGATAAAAATAAATAATTCCTGGAGAAGACGATATAATACTGAACTGTATAAAATCTACAGAGAGTCAGATATTGTGAAATTCATTAAAATAAATCGAATGAACTGGGCAGCTCACATTTTCAGAAGGAATGATGACTCAAATTTAAAGAAAATCCTATTACACAAACCCCTAACGAACAGGAAAAGAGGTAGACCCAGGCTGAGATGGCTAGATTTAGTTGAGACTGATTTCCTTTCTCTAAAGGAGAAAAACTGGCGAACAAGTGTCAATAGTAGAGAGAAGTGGATTCGAATTCAAAGGAAGGCACTGCCCCCCCCCCTGGGCTGTCTAGCCAAATATGATGATGATGATGTTATTATTATTATGAATGTACAAATTTAAAAAAATAATAATAATTTACTGTATTATGTAACATATATGCACTCTTGACTGCTTGTTCGAAAATGACACTTAAAACATATATCCTTAATTTATCGCATAATAAACTGAAATGTATTATCGCCTTCTTTATACCACACCCTGCGTAGCAAAGAAGTAGTGACACTTAGTATTCACTTGAAAGGGAATTTTAATAAATCCTGGTCCCGACAGTGAGCAAAAAATGCAGCTAGTGGTGAGAAATCGGTAATCAATATTCCAAATCGGCTGTTGAAAGAACTGTTAAAAAATCGCAAGCAGCAGGGGAAAAAATTGTGCGCCAATGTTTTTAACTTTTTCAGATTATTTTGGTGATTAATATGATGGATTTTAAAAAAAGTTAAATAATTTTTTTTTACTTGAGTTATATTCAAATTTACTTTATACAAATTTTATTTCAATATCCATTTTTGGGCTTGGGTAGCTCAGGGGATAGAGCACTTGCCTCCCAATGAGGTGAACAGGGTTCGAATCCTAGTAATGGCTGCTCGATACGAATTCTCATCGACCACAGTACGGACGTAAAATATCCTCAGTGTTAGACGGATCATGGGTTAAAGTCCACCTTCTGTCAGGCTAGCCGAGGGAGCTTTTCTTGTTGTTCCTCGCCATCTAACGCAAATGCGGGTTAGTTCTATCAAAACGAATCTTCACGAAAGCCAATTTCTTCAAATACTTAAACCGGGAGTTCCCTTGTCTTCTGGATCGGGTTCAAAATTACAAGGTTCTGGAGTTGAACATTTGTAGCCGTAAACTCAAAATTGGGTCACCTCTTCAACGATGGTTATAAAATCTGCACTTATTCCTGGTTGTCTGATAAACTGAACTGATGAATCTGATTGCAATTATTGAAGCTAATAGAAATTACCTATTGACCGATAAACTTTTCGCTCTGTACTTTTGTGAAAAGATGAAATATGGTAACAGAATTATATCATTTTTTAAATTTATATCGTTGAAGCAAAACAATTTATGCTTACCTATACAACTATCTCTGTCTATTTTTATTCTGATCAGATACTATGCATTCGCCTAAATTTTTAAAACTAAAGCTGTAAGCTGTAGTAACACTAAAAAGTATCAACTTAACTTAAGCGCTAATTATTTATTACTTTTTATCAAAAAGGTACTTTTTACATCAAATGTTGCGCTAATGGAATGGCATCGTGGGACGGATATTTTTTAAAAAAATGCATATTAGAAGAAAAAACAGTGTTTTTAGAGCTATACAGATTCTCGCAAACTATTTAGTTAAAAGTTACTTCTTGAAAATCACAAAAATAGGATTTTAAGATACTTGATATACCTAAAAAAATTTAAAAATTCTTTTAAGTTTAAAACGTGTAAAAACTTTTTGTGTCTATGAAATTTAGTGTCTATGAAAATGATCTCAACTGATACAATTATGTGTGAAAACCAGTTTACCAATTATGAATGATAAAACTATTTTAAATGAATGAAAAATAATGTTTTTTGCTTAAGTTTGCATTTAATTTTATATCATAAGAATTAGGATAGCTTCAAAATGTGAGAAGATGAATGTTTGTTTTTTTTCTAAAATATTTTTCTTTCTAATTTAACATTCAACTCTAGGAGTAAATGATTGGTGGCATCGTCTTTAGTCTGCAACTGCAACGTGATGTTGTATCGTCAAAAAGAACTCCGAAATAAGAGCCTGACACAAATATTTTGAATCGATTTTAATCTATTTATTTGTTTTGTTAATTTTTTTGTTTTGATGTTTTTTTCATGTTTCCTTATTTGACCTTTTCCGCTTTTGGTGCAGATGTTTGCCCGGTCATTGAGAGAGGTTTTACTGGTATTTTCTGAAGATTTTCTTCAACAAAATTGCGTGCCTCCCGAAAACGGTCGTAAATAGAGGTGGTCTTTCCTGGAGGTTTCACTGTATTAAAATCCTACAAAATGGTTTCAAAATTCCTGGTATTAAAGCTTGAAAAAAGTTATTAACATCCTCCCCTTATTTGGTCGAACCGAGCTTCAAATAGGTAAAAACGACATAATTTCTAAAAGTTTCATGCATGACCTTCCAAATTGTGCCTACAGTTTTGTCATCTACAAAAACATTTGTTGCTGAAAGAAAGATTATTCACATAGAGTTAGCATACGAGAAGCATTTCCATATTCTCGTTTTCCTGTAATTTGATAACGAAATAGTTTGACCTTTTCTTGCTCCTGTTTATTAATTCAATTAAATAAAAATTTTGTTTTTATAGGTTCTAGATATAGACTGGTATCCAATAGCGAGAGATTGTTCAGTTTATGCAGTCACTGTTATAACTCTTATCTGGATCATCGAAGACAACATTGTCGAATGGTAGTATTAATNAGCATAAAAATAAAAAAGGTATATATATATATATATATATATATATACCTTTTTTATTTTTATGCTTCAACTAATCTTTTTATGTTATTCCTTTATCTAAATATTTTTCTTAATTTATTATTCAAAACTAAACAATCTTTCTCACACTTTAATATTCACCTCCTGTCTCTTTATCTATTTTTGACTTCAAGTTATGCATGAATTAACATTTTATAACTTTCCCTTTATGAACCTAAGGAAAGAATTATTTTCCCTCAGCCTTTTAACAGACCAACTATAATTATTAATGTTTCCCTTTTTCCCTGAGACCTGAAACAATAGAGAGAAGAAACTTGTACTATTTTCTTAAAACATCCATTTCAAATTACCAACTATATTCTTTATCATCAGGAAAATCACATTTCCTCATTCAATCAATATATTTTTTTTTATGAAACTCAAATTTCTCTTTAACTTTCTTATTTTGGTAATAATTAAGAATATTCAATTAAAAAATACATCAGGGTTGGGAATACCAAGCAATGGCCCTTAAACTCAAAATAAATATCAGATAAGTTAATACCGGGCAACAGTATTTTACCTTTAACACCAGTGCACGAAATATAGTTTTGGAGCATGCCTGGTAATGAACCTTTACCTTAAGAAATATTATTGTGAGGAATACTGAGCAATGGCTCCCATAAATGATCAATTCGAAAATTCGAACTATTAATTATAAATTGGGATTTCTATGCTTTTTATTAAATAAAAAAAAATGAGTATGCTTGTCGCACCAAAGAGATTACTTTCATCTGAAAAGTATTAATGAAACATTATCAGATTAATTAAAATTAATCAAGTTAAAAGTAATTCAAGTAATCAGAGTATAATGAATAATAATTTTTCATACTTTGCCAAATTATCATCTGATTATGCTTAGGCAATGTGAGGAACATTTAATCATTTCCTACTTTGTCAGACGATTTTCGAACATTGTACAATGCCGAATTTTCCCTTTTGCCGGTGAAATACACATTTTTGAATAAATAATTTACTTTATTATGAAGTGAATAGAGCTAAAATTGAATCTATTTTTTTCACTTGTTACTCTTTAAACAATTTATTAACTTTAAGTTTTAATTGAATCACGTATTTTCTTAGGTGGGAATCTCTTGTGCTGCTTTTCATATTTTTCGTGTATCTCATCATTATGGGTTTCAATAGAAGGGTAGAGAAAGCCTCTCGGAATATGGTAAATAAAATATTTCAATTTTTCCTCAACTTGAGTTTAACTTAATCTTTTGAAGAATTTGTTTTGAAACAGAGAAGTGAAAAAAAAAAAGGATTTTTATCGTTTTGAGCAGATTAAAATTTGTGGAGAAATTTCTTCGAATTTCTCATCGCTTTTTACGAAGAAATACAAACATGTAGCATACATGTGGGTAACCAAAACAGCGACTCATTTTGTTCCTCTCAAATCTCAGTGCGCTGCCGCCGAAGCACTGATTCATCGGATTTTTGAGACATATAATGGGGGAATGTGTGAAGTGGGAGTAGAATTGGGGAAAGAGGGGTTGCCACGCACCAAATAGTAAAGTCATGAGTGGGAAAGCAGTCGATTGAACATATGATGAAATCTTTAGGAAATTAAACATAATTGAGATTAGACTAGATGAGAGTATAATAATATTTACGAGGGTCAGAATAATATTAAAATTTAAGCTGGTGTAATAAAATAGAAAATAATAGAGAAAATCTATACAACCAACTACACATTTACACGAGATTGACAAAAATCCATCGACGACAAAGGAAAGGTTATATAAGCGATTAAGCGATAGACAATCCGTCAACTACCTTATCTGTGACTTTTTCATAGTGGTCCCCAGGCGTCCTGGTAAGGTAATACCACTCGTTTCTGGGTTGCCCATCGCACTAAAGTTACCAATTTATCGTTCTCACGGCAACGACTCATTTAGATACAAAACTCTCCACTGTGTGCTCTAAATTTTTAGTTGGACTCAGTGCACAACCTGATTATTCATTCTTCTACTCAAAAATCAGTTTTCCATAGTTCATTAAACCTGCTAACTCTTACATTCATAAAAGTGTTTTCCTAGCACTAATAAAATGCCAATTGCAGTGACATTATAAAAAGACATTCATACGACTTTTGAATGTCTGTTGACAATGTTTGTTTAATGTTTATTGTTTTAGAGGACTATGGAACACTTAGCAGAATAGCAGCCCTGATATAAGTACGTTTAAACTCCCGTGATAGAATCGCGGTGTCACGGCAACAGTGTCGCAGAACGTTACAGAGTTCTTGTAGAAAGATTTTCCTTTAGGGAAGTAAAAATTTTGAGTCTTCTTCTCTGCAGAAATTTACACGCAAAATTCAAATTAAGCATTTAAATAATCACTTTTAGAACCGCTTACGCCGATACATCTTAGTGTTTCGATTTGTTAATATTGATTTTCAGGTGATTTTTAAATATCCCGATATATTTCAAATAACTTGGAAAATTCGAATCGCACATTTGAGTATTTACTTTTTAAGGCAATGATTATATCGATTTTATTTTAGCAGTTATAGCTACTGATTACCAATTAATTTTCAAAATCCGATATTTTCTGTACGATATTATTTTTTACTACTGAATATCGAAAAGAAACACGCATTAGAGTCACTCCTTTTCGAAGAATCGCATGATTTCATCGTCGATTTTATTTTAGGTAATTACTACTCCGCGGATTTTATGATTTTTATTTATTTTTTTAATGCGATGATGATTTACGAAATGCGAAAAAGAAAATAATCAGTGCTCCCGACAAAATACGAGAATATCACCCATAAAATTAGAATAAAAAAAATTGCCTATTCAATTAAAAAAAATATTTATAGTTTTCTTTCTTATTTATAAGCACAGAAATTTAGTTACTTTAAATTAACACATACATATATTTTTTATTATTAAAAGTATCTAAAAATATTAATTTTGTCTCAGACAGCTGGAAAAAAGTCCGTCTTTCGGATTTAAACTAATGAAATGTTGCGTCAATTAGAAATCAATTTAAATTAAATTTGTTTACATACTTTCAACTGTGAACGTCATATGACGTCCTTCGATAACCGACTGTAATTAACGATGTATTGTTCATTCAGTCATTCTTGCCAATTTTTTTTTTCTTTTAAGAAGTGATTTTCCGAAATGATAGTTAATTATACATAGCTGCCAACCCAGAAGTTTTAGTTTCTCAAAATATTTCAAACAGTTGACAAATAAAACTTAATTTGTTTAATTGTGCCCACACTGAACAATTTCTATGCACAATTGAGAGGTTTTATCTTTAAGTTGTTTGCAGCTACTTCAGAAAAAAATCACTATAAATTTAATTAATTAAATTAATAATAAAATGTTGAATCAAATTATTTACTACCACTCTTAATATTAATTATGTTCTTATCTTACTATGCATTAACCAGGGTTCGTATGCACCTGCAAAAAATTAATAGCTGCTATCAATTTTGTTATAAAGAAGCTGAAAATGTCTTAATATTACCTCTCACTATCGAAATAAAATTACATTTCTGCCACCTTCGGATCTATAACTATTTACTTAGAGAAAATAAAATATCCTGGCATCTGCAAGCTAGCTCCTGATATGACAGCCTAGTTCAGGCTAGTGCAGTCCCAACTATGGTTTCCATCTGACTCGATCAGAGACTTTCTTCATTTATTGATGGCCATGGTTTTAAGATCTTTTTCAACAGAGTCAATCCCTCCGGTGTTTGGTCTTGCCCTTTTTTGGTTGCCAGTAAGCATTCTGAAAGTCATCTTCTGCACCATCATCCTTTCTATAGATGTGATCTAACCATCTTATTCTCTAGGATAAAATAACTGAAATTATGTTTGACTGCTTAAGTTTTCTGTACAATTCCTAATTGTACTGAATCCGCCGAAAATCGTCTTCCTTAACAGCTCTATAGATGGCTCTGAATATTTTTTTCCCCAAAAATAAGTAGTTTAATTCCGTAATACATGCGCAAATTCTGTCGTAATAAAGATAGCAATCGTTGTAAAAATAAATAACGCTGATTAAACACACAGAGATGCCAACTTGCTTCGGAGAGCAAATATATATTTTAAAGTGGTAGTTTATCAATTGTGATTCTTGGTTTAATAAATTCAATTCAATAGATTTTTATCCACCACTATTTCTAAATAATTCGTAGGCTTATATAATTCACCAGTTTAAAGTTATAATATCATGCTATACCTTTTAAAAAGCAAGCAAAAATAGTCAAATGTTTGCAAAATTTACTTTGTAATTATTTACCGTTTTTTTTTAATTATTTTGACGTGTCCGGAGAAGTTGGCATCTCTGAACACAGGTTTAAATTTTGAAATACCATTAAAGTCTCACAAATGTATCCGTATTTTAGTTACATTTCAAAATTTGAGAAGCACAAAATTTTATAGTACAAAAATTTTACCTTATTGTTGAGGAATTTTGAACGAACGTGAATTCACACTTGATCAAGATAGAGATTTTTAAACCTCATAAAATATAAGAAACCATGCTTGCTTTAATTAACTACGAAATAATAGAGGGGGGCGCAACGAAAGCGTCAGCTAAATGATATTTTTTCCGCAAAATATAAATAGTATAACGGTTATAGTTTTGAATAGTTTACACTAAAAAAAGCAAACATGTAACTACCAGTTCTGTATCTTTTCCATGTAAGTATCATTCTCTAACTGTTGAATATCTCGTAACTTTTATAATAGAAAGGCGATTTTACTTACTATGATACAGTAATATATATATATATATNATCGTACGAGAGGCTAATGTGCAAAATTTTTGTTGTAGATATTTTTTAGGCGTTCGGAAGTTCGTTTATACTTTCCCTTCAATGTTTTTACAAAGTAACGCGCAAGCATAAATTTAAGTTACCAATGTTTGCCCTACCTTTAACTAATATTAAATTTAAGTTAGGAAAAGTAAAAAAAAATCAGATTCGTTAATCATATTATTATTATTATTATTAATAATAATAATAATAATAATTAATCATTGTTCTTGTCTAGTGCAATGGAGAAACCTGGTGCGTTTGTTGCAGGGAAGATGAAAACGCATCTTTGCTCTCAGGAAAAACAATAATTCCGGAGATTGATGAAGTTGCACGAACCGCAAGTTTTTCAAATCGGGACAGTTTCAGCGTGGAAATCACACCTAGCAGAACGAATTCGATATTAAAAAACTATCCTTCAGAAATAATGGGTTGGTTCACTTATTTTTATTTTTAACAAAAATATATATACGTAAGTATTTGTTAAGTACTGAACATACAGGTTTCGTCCGTACCTAAGAAAACTTAAAAAGAAGTAGTGATATTAGGACTATAGGAAAGTTCTGTTCGTGAAAGTACACGAATTCTTTTACAATAATGCAAGAAGTTCCTTGCAATAGTTCTTTTACAAGAGAACTTCTTGCAATATCCTTCTTCTGAAAAGAAGAAGGATATTTACCCTTTTGACGCAGTTGGGACACCGGTGTCCCTTTAATATACATTTTTCCTGATGCTCTAATTGCAAGATAAAATATATTTTGGTAATTTTTCGTTATAAAAATTATCTAATAGTTACTTAAAAAATCTGCTGAAATCTTATCGAAATAAGATTTGTACTAAATTATATTTAAAAAATAATAGTTTAAAAAAATGCCCTTCATAATAAAAAATTATTCAATAATTGATTTTGTAAATTAATAACCGATCTAAATAACTGAAAATAAGTGGAAATTTGAAATATTATTGTTTAGAATTGAGCCGTGTTTGGAAGATATAACGAACATTTAACGGTTTAATAGACTCTGGTGTATACTGTATACCATAACCACAAATTATTTAAAATGCTAAATATAACATTTTTTTACTTATTTTGACCTAAATTAGTAAAAAATTCTGTGTCAAAGGGTTAACTAAATGGTAATGTTCAAGCTGAAAGAAACACAGCATGTATGGTACAGAAGAGCATGTGCATATATTTTCAAAAAAATTTTACCAAAAGTATTCAATAGAATTAAGCGATTCATCTGACATGTACATTTTTATTTTATTACCATCGTTGAGCTGCTGACCCGATTTTGGATTTACGACTACCACAGTTCAACTCCGTAACCTTGTCATTTTGAAGCCAATCCAGAAGACAAGGGAACACCTGGATCAAGTATCGGGAGAAATTAGCCTTCATGGAGGACTTTTTGATGGAACTAACCCTCATTTGCTTTACATAGAGAGGAAAACAACGAAAACCTTTCACCGTTAGTCTGACAGCATGCGGACTTTAACCCATCAACTGGGGATATTTTACGTCAACAGTGTTGTTGATGTGAGCCGGGGGCGTATTTGTATCGACCAGCCACTACTGGGATTCGAACCCTACTCATCTAATTTTTTAATCAGCTTCTTAATGGTCACGGAGAGTTTGGGATCTACCAGAAAAGATCCTTTAAAAAAAATAGCATTATGTCAATATTGTGGAGCAAGGTGAGACCTTGTTCACCTCATTTAAGATTGTCCAAGGTCGCGGGCAGCGACTTTACACATTGTCGACTCCCGGGCACTTCCTTGGCACCGTATTTTGAAATTCGCCAATGTTACATTCGCCAAGTCGGGTTTCAAATTTTCTAGCGAAAATCTTCGAATATTAAATCGCGCATGTTTCACTTGCGACATACGATTTAAAAAACGCATGAGTGAACATGAGGTGTGAATAAATTTAGCTGCTTTAAAANAGCGCGAAGATTCGTTTCTGACTTTTGCGAGTGCTGTATTGCGGCGAGCGTAGGGTTGCCTCTGAGTGAGGGTTACTAGATAAGGCGGTGAAACAGTTGACAAATAAAACCGCGGCGAGTGGAGGTGCTCGGGAGTCGACAATGTGTAAAGTCGCTTCCGGGCAGGCGCTTCGTGGTCCATGTGAACAACAATCAAGACGAACATCTTGAAACGAAGCACGCTATACTGGCTCGGGAGGAAAATTGCGATCAACATCATTAAACAAACTCTTGACGATATTTTAGCCCCTGACTAGCTTACTCTGGTCATTACAACATAATAAAACATGCCATCTGATTTATTTTTTTTTTTACCGAATGACTTTTAGCTTTTACTACTGTTTTAACCCCTTGGACTTTTAATCAACTGGATTTCAGCTTTCAAGGATTTATCCCACAGTGATTTTGTATTGGCCATTTACACCGTTGCTTTTAGCTTGCTTTGTTCTAATATTTTTTTTAGCTGTTTTAACTTCTAAATTTTTCATGTAATTTTTTCAGTTCAATTTGGCGCCATTACCTTAACAAATGTAACCATTAATTACCTTAACAAATGTTACAAACCATTAGAATTGCTTTTGAACGTTTAGAACCACTATTCTTTGAGCAACTAAGAGCTGATGTATGTTCCTTCTTTTAGAATGTAAAGTCTTAGGTCGCACTTGAGAATGTCCTACCTGACTTCTAATCGAAATTCGTTGTTCCGGAAAGGATTAAATTAATACTTCTAGAATAAGAAAAATCAAAATCTTGTCTTACAAGTGAAATTTCTGAATTTTACTCGACTGTCAACTAGCAGGAATATATTTTATTTGAATATTTCAGACGAGATTGGAAGGAATGGCAGTAGCTCTCTGTGCACCTTACCTGTGGGAGGTCCCATAAATTTTGCCTGCTGGATAATCATGTATCCAGCGAAACTACTTTTCTACATCACAATACCTGACAGTAGTAACCCTAGGTTGTACAAATTTTTTCCCGTAACATTCTTCATGGCAGTTCTATGGATTGGAGTTCTCTCTTATTTGGCTGTCTGGATGGTCACAGTAATTGGTATGTTATCTAATTTAATTATTTTGTATTTCAAATTTTATTTCACCAACCGAATTCATTAGAACCGGAACATGGAACATGATCAATTAAGAATGAAAGTGCAAAAATTGACTCCTATTCAGAGATTTTATATTATTTCATGCCTAAACTATATTTTATAACAAAACAAAAAAAGATAGAGGCCAAAGAAATTACGGAGTTATTACATTAAATTATTGTTAAAATACATATATACATTTTTTTTTATTCAGTTTATATCTTCGCAAAATGCAGTTTTACATTTGGCTTCAAATTTTCTTTTAGTAAGTACGAATTCAAGGTTTGATCCTGGCTACCAACCCCAAGGTTGAAACGGGCTACGATAAAGGCAAAAATTGGTGTCTTGAATAGTGGCGATAAATTTCAAAAAAGATTAAAATTAACAACTTAAGTTTATTCGCTAACGTTGCTGCCACTACCAAAATTATTTCTCAACGGCTGTACAAGTTATCAGCTATGTAAGTTATAAATATTTTCCCTATGTTCAATATAATTTTGTTGCTTTATAAAATTTAAAATGAAGCGAATAAACAGTTCTCAAGTATTTACATTTTTATGAAAAAAAAATTTCTTCAAAAATATGTTTATTTTTTCCAAAAATAAAATAAATTATTTTAATAGCAATTTTTTTCGAGGATTATTCAACCGGGGTATTTCAAATTGTACTACATATAAAAATTACACAGTTCAAGTAAGCTTCGATGTAAACATAATCTTTCAAAAACCATTTACTCTGATAAATAAATAAAAATAATAATTTAATAACTTAAAAATCTTTTTCAGGTTATACATTTTCCATTCCCGATTCCATATCTGGTCTCACTGTTTTAGCCATAGGTACAAGTGTTCCGGAAGTCATTACCAGTATAATCGTTGCAAAAAATGGTAAGAATTATTTTCATTTAGTGTGACATTTAATTCACTAATAATTTTTAAAGTAACTTAAACTACTTTTTAAAAAAAATAATTGCAATTAAAAATTTTTTGTTAAAAAAATTCAATATATATCGGCGCATATTCCACACACAGCGTGCCATTTAAAAACCGTATTCACTAGCTAGCATGGTTTTTTGCTAATCATTTATAAACCTTGATAGGTTATTGTGATAAAGGTTGCTCTTGTATTAAAATCAACCTTAAAATGGTATCTGGTTATGCACTAGAAGATGAATCCTCGTGGTTTAGTGAAAACGGTACAAAATATGTGAAAAACGTGAATTGCTAAGTAGTAGAGCAAAATAAATGAGATACAAATAGACGCCTTGTGGAGACTAATGCTAAGAAAAGAATGCTTAAACCTGTTTTTGGAAGACTCCGTCACCATATGAAATGATGCATTTTTGCTAATACTATGCTACTTTCATAACTGCTGTGAGTTTGCTCATGACTGTTAGGTCAAGTTTAACCCATTTAAACCTAGCGCTGTCTACACTTATTCTGAAAATGGCGCAAAAAGTCAATATGGAAAAAAGCCACAGTTTTGTGGAAATGAAAGCGTTTATGGTCTAATTTTTTAATATTTCAACACTTTTTCCTATGCTGCATTATCTTGGCTCATAAGAAAATGCATTAACTGAGAATAAGAGATACTTTTTTTTTAAATGGAAAAAATGTCGCGAAATTGGTGATTTTTAAAAAAGTTAATTAACTTTTAAAATATTTAAGTTATTTGCTCATTCTAAATCCCAGATAATTCTTCACGGCAAGATGAAATATAGTTTAAAATCTTCGCTTTGCTTTAGTGTAAGACACTTAAACTATGGCTTTTTTATTTTCCTTGGCGACAGAACTTCGAAAAAAAAGCGCATTTGTCTATTTCCTATATGAATAGCGATCTGTGTGTGTGTGTGTGGGGGGGTGGAGAATGAAGTGATAACTGGACACATTTATATTGGGTGAACCAAAAGCTTAAATAAACCACGAACAGACAGATGCGTTTTTAAAGCTTGTTTTCTTAGAATTAATCTCCAAAACGTGTCATATCAAACTAAATTAATGATACTCAACAATTTTGCACTTACATATAGCATACCTCGAACCGTTTTCGGGTAAGAAATCAAAGTTTTCCACGAAATGGTAGTGAAAGCGATTTCTTCTTGTTGTGTATAGCCAATTTTATATCCCTAGACACCAGTTTTATAGCAGCAACTATTCGTTAGTTAAGAGCGTGAATTTGGACTTTACTGGTTATTACGTTTGTCCATGCATATAGCTAATACTCTAAAAATATTTTACTGGTGATATTATTTGATATTGAAATTCATAACTGCTTTGAAACTCATAGTTTAATGGGAACAGAATAAAATTAGTTACACAAAATCAGCTTTTCAAATTGTCATTATGTTACAAAATTACTGCGATTAAACAAATTCAAATTTAGGCATCCCAATTTCAAAATTTAATCTAGGTTACTCTTTTTGAGTCAGACAAAAAAATAAGTTTTTTCCCCTGCGACTCTACAAATTCAAATTCAGGCTTCCCAATTTCAAAATTGAATAAAGGTTACACTTCTGAAATAGGAAGGAAAAAAAAATTCTTTTCCTGTGATTATATAAATTCAAATTTAAGCATTCTGATTTCAAAATTAAACCAGGTAACACTTCTAAACCCTTCATAAAATTATCTTGTTTTATTTTGTTTTGAGTAACAATTTTTAAGAAAACATGGCTGTAACTTTAACCCACTCAAACTCAATTAAATGTTATATTTAAAAATCTTTTTCAGGCTATGGTAACATGTCGATAAGCAATCTTGTAGGAAGCAACACTTTTGACATCTCCTTCTGCCTAGGACTACCATGGCTTATTAAGACACTGATATCGGAAAAGAAATATCTTTTGGTGTACAGCTCCGCACTCACTTACACAACTGCAACACTCCTGCTAACACTTGTAGCTTTCGTTATTGTCTTCCAACTATCACATTGGAAGTTCAACAAGAAAGTCGGTCTCATATTCCTCATCATTTATGCTGTGTTTTTGGTTCTGTCCTGTATGTACGAATTAAATGTTTTTGGTAAAATAAATGTTCCAACATGTGATCACTAACTACTGGAAAATAATTTGCCATTTAACTGTTTTATTTGTAATGGTAATGACTGGTAATTAATAATTTAGTATAAATCTCAATTTTTACTTTTAAATTTTGGGAATATTTGCATTATCTTCTATACATTATTTTAATATTAAATAATATGGAGGGGGAAAAAACACTTTGCTGCTCAAAAAAAAAATCTATTCAAGTTTTGTACCTCGACAGATTTGACGATGCAAGAATTATACTTAAACTCAAGGATTATATTCAAGCATATTCGAAAGAACACATACACACAAGTTATTTAAAGCTATTTGCTTTTGAATGTAAAAGAATAGAAAAACTCTTCATTTGCCATAAGAAATATTTTGAAATAAACTTTCAAAAACATAGGCTTTGCAGTGGTTTAAAGAACATTTTTCAAAAAAATAATTTTTTTTGGAACTGTGTACATGTATTAGGCTACTTTTAAAAAAGGCAAACTAAAAAAAAGCATGGATGGTGAAATCGGTTGTCACAATGCAGTATGAAGATACTTGCAACAGACACATCGATACAAAGAGAAATTGTGTTGCTTTCAGTATGAAGCCACCTTAGCTCAAAATAGTTTCAAATCAATGCGTGGAGAATTTTAATAGTATTGTTGCATTAAAATCAGTATCAATTAGTGACTATTCCATCATACAAATATGTAATTAAAATTTGTAACTGAGTTTTAGATTTTCTTACTCAATTTTAAAGTAGGGTTTCAATTATCTCGAAATGAAAACACAGTGAATATGCTCCCTAACATTTTAGCACATAATTAATTTTTGTGGATGATCCAATTCATTATTTAAAAATTCTACAATAATCATATAGAATTTTTAAATAATGATTTGAAATATCATCTACTAAAATTAGTTATGTACAAAATATTAGGGGCATATTCACTGTGTTTTCATTTTGATATATGTATATGATTACTGTATTCTTGATTGGAATCAATTATTTTTAAAATCAAATGTAAGAGATGAATTGTGAAAGATTTTAACCATACTAAATTAGTTACTGCATTTGCTTAAATAAGTGTTTGGCCCATGAATACCACCATACAAATTTGATGATATAAAATTGTTAATTGAGTTTTTCTTTCACATAGAATGACTGAATTCCCAAAAAAGTTTAAACAACGAATCCTGTGTGTTAGGCTATATGCCTGAACCAGGCATATAATTAGCAGACAGCCCCTTTGTTTGAGCTATTGAATTTTGTCATTTCTACGAGCATAATTACTTAGAATAAAAATATGTTGGATCGAAAATCCAAATCTTTAAATTCTTCAAATCTATTTTTTTTAATCTACATTTGTATTCTTAGGGATGATCTGTTCCGAACACACAAAAGTCAAAAATATCAGGACAAAATATTTTTCATTAGGAAAACTACAAACTCTATAAACACAATAAAAAACCAATAAACTCATGTAATACAATTTTTACTATTTGTGGAAAACACAGCTTTATAGTGCCTAGAACAGTGTTTCCCAACGTGGGGCCCACGCCCCACTGGGGGGCAATTTGATTGTTAAGGGGGGCAATTCGGAAATTGACTGGACACGAGTTTAACCCTTTTGCTCCGGGCCACTTAAATGCAATGTTAGATTTCGGTGCCAAAATTGAAAGGAAAAAGCAAATTCTTAAATAATTGAGGCCAATAAATATTACGTGACTTAGCGATTTTTTAGGCGACAAAATGAAGTATCTGTTAACCGTTGATCGTAAAGCATTTGTGAGTTATTATCTTTGAAAAACTAAATACATTAAATGAGATACTAAATACATTAACTTCAAGGAACAAATGAAACTCTGTTTGATGCAAAAGCGAAGATATTTGGTTTCATTACTCTTATTGACCTATGTCAGAAATATATTAACAACAAAAACTTTGAACAGTTAGTTTCATTGGCTCCAAAAATGTGAAATAAATGATACCGCTTTACTTTTTATGGTCGATCATCTGAAAATTCTTTCGGCTGATTTACAAGAAACATTTTCTGATTTAAAACAAATTGATTTTCCAACACGGATGATGCAGTCAATGTTAGTCGATTTGTCTGATATATATCAAATATGCAGTATCAAGAAGAACTCGCAGAAATGCAAAATAATGAGTTACTTAAAACTTTATTTAATATAAAAGGAGTGATGGCATGGCTTTGTGAGGAAACAGAAATCAAATACCTAAATTCAACCAAATGTGCAAGAAAACTATTGTTACAGTTTCCCTCTTTATATTTAGCTGAATGTGAATTTAGTTCTATAAATGATTTACTGGTAAAAAAAAGAAATCGCCTGGATGCAATAAAAAAGGGAGACTTGAGACTGAAGCTAACTAAATCGGAACATAAAATCTCTGTGCAGCAAGCATCAAGCGTAAGGATCTCAATAAATTAAAATATTGAATTATTATAGAAAAATCTTAAAATTATTTCGAATTTGATTATATTAAAATTTTTCCGAATTTGAATTTTAGTTTTTCATTATATGTTTTGAAAATTTTCTTACTGAGTTTCGTTAACAATTTGCTAGTGATTTTTTCTTGAAACCTATAATTTAAGTTTCTGAGAACAACTCAATTTTTTAATATTAAAAATTATGTATATGTTACATAGGGGGCATAAGAATTTTAGAAAGGCTTAGGTGGGGCATGGCACAAAAAAGGTTGGGAAACACTGGCCTAGAATGAACTTGTGGTTAACTCTGGCCTGGAATATTCTGATTTCCTGTTTAACCCAATAATGACCAGCCACAAAAAAATGGTCTACATTAAGCTGACCAGCGTCCTCAAGAAAATAAAAACTCTAGTAAACTTTCTATGTGAACATTAACTGTTACATATTTCTAAATTAATATTTTTAGAACAGAGATCACTTGCAAGAATTCTCTAATAGAAATAGTTCTTTTTAAAGATAAAGAAGAGAGTTTGCGAATGTTCTTTGAGAAATTTTACTTTTTTGAAGACACCAATCAACTTGGTCTATATAGAAAAAAAAGTGGTAGCTTAAATTTGTTTCTAGCAGGTAAATATTTCTTTGATCGCCCCCCCCCCCAAAAAAAAAGCACTGTGCATTAATTTTAAATCCAAATTAATTTATTACTATTAGACTGAAGCAGACAGAATTATCTTGTTTCTGAAAAATATATTTAAATATAGAAACACTTATGCCACAACTTTATAATTTGACACAATAGGTTGATTCAGGTTAACACAAATATAATAGGTTAATTTTAGTTCTAATCTTCTCTACTACAGAATAGCATGTAAAGTAAAAAGATCTGTATTCAAAAAAGATACTAGTTGCAAATTTTGAATCTGCAGAAATATTGCTGTATCATTTTCCAATAAAGAATAAATTCCCCCCAGCATTATTTTTTGTTAATAACATAACTGAATTTAAGAACAGAAGGTAAATTAAAGAGAAAATAGGATAGTCAGGGAGTATAATGACAAGAAACATGTTAAAAAATTTTGAAGTTTCTATTAATAGTAATTCAAAGTAAAATTTTTAAGAGAAATTTCAGAATAAAACATTACTATTTCAAAGAAGGCATTAAGAAATCACTGTGTATCATTCTATTATCTAAAAGAAATTATGAAAACTTTAATGAAGAACTTATCTGAAAACAATACCAAGGAACATTTTGATGAAAAATGTCATTTTTGGAGGGGGGGGGAAGCTGTGTATCACCACTACAAAAATAACTCCAACAAATAAACAGCCTTTCAAACTTCAAAACTTTATTTAAACTACGGTTTAGTGTTTATTTAAATAGAATCTATAGATTTAAATAGTAGATTGTGGTTGTTGCAAATAAAAAAATAGAAATAAAGTTACATTATAGCTTGACCGAATAACCAAAAAATTTACAAATGAAACCTTTACAATAAATAAAAGAATGATGAAGAGTTTTCAAAGATAAATAAATTGGATGATGAAGCTTCCATTCATTGTGATTAAAAAATTAGTTTGTTTAAAGTTCCTTAAACTTAAGTTCTTTAGAATCCGGAATACGATTCTCTTTGAGTTTCTTGAACTTTGAAATGACATCAGATATGCTAAATTCACCCAGAACCTCGTTATCTCTAGTACGCACATTGACCGTATGGGACGTTTTTTCACGTTCACCCACAACTGAAACAAAAATAAAAGATTTAAATTAATAAAAAGAAAAATACACTGCAACAGGTGAAAAGTGTCATTTAAAAATAAATAAATAAAAACTGACCAAAAATGTAATTGTATTGAGCAATTTGAGCATTTCGAATTTTCTTGTTCATGGTATCTCCTTGATCCACATCCATTTCACAAATGAAGCCTGCACTACTGATTTCAGAAGAAACCTATATAGGAATAAATATATGAAACAATCAAATAATAATGGAAGGGAAAAAAAATTCAAATAGACAGGAATATAGAAAACTATATGTTAGTTATGCATCAAAGGACTTGGTAAATGCAACTATTCAGAAATGAGATTTGTAAGAAAAGTGAAAGGTTGTAAAATTTGATATAAAATTAGAAAAATAGAATTTAAAAAGAATTAAAGAGATTATTTTGACAGGGTTAACCAATGTGTCCCCTCCCCTTCCCGAAAAAAAAAACAGTCAAGTTTTTGTGGGTGGGCCCACTCAGAAAAAAATCAGCTTTTTTTTCAAGTTGTTTTTTCATTCCAAAGATTTTTGTAGGATTTACCTCAAAAGCAAAATAATTGTAAACTAATATAATTTAAACAAAGACATCCATACAATATAAGATAAATTAACTTTTTTAAATAAGTTATATTCCATAACCATCGACTACAAATGTTCAACCCCATAACCTTGTAATTTTGACCCAATCCAGAAGACAAGGGAACTCCTAACTAAAGTATTGGGAGAAATGTGCCTTCATGAAGGACTTTTTGATAAAACTAACCTGCATTTGCATTACAATGAGAGGAAAACCACATAAACGTTCCACGGTTCGCCTGATGGAAAGGGGAGTCTAGGCCATGATCTGTCTACTATTGAGGTTATTTTTAGTCAGCACTGTGGTCAATTCATATTGACCAGCTATTGCTGGGAGCCACTACGCCTCTGATATACAAATTGAAATGTATTCAAATATATGTCTTCCATTAGGATGGAAAAATGCAGTAAATATCTGTCCTTATGAAGAACACATTGGAGATTAGGAATCTTAAAACCTTATGAATAATTTTATTTCAATTTATATGAAGTTTTTAAGTTTTTATAAATCAAATTTTCATCACAAGAGCTTAACATTTCATATGAGTATAGTGATATAAAGTATAAATTAAAATCAATTGAATCCATTTATGAAAAATTATCAGTTTTTATGATATTTAATTATTAATGAAGCTTGAAAAAGTTATTGAATTTTCATCAGCAAACTCTGAAGTATATTATTAAAATTAAGTTTACATAATTATTAAAATTAAAAACTCTTCTTATATATTTAAATTATATCAATGAAGCTAAGTAGTATTCAGTTTTTTTAATTGCATGGAAATTGAATTAGATTTCAGATATGATAGTATATTTATTTATTCGAGGTAAATGTTTTTGAAGTGAATTAATTAAAAACGTTTGATGAGATTGATAGATGTTATTGAAAATAGCTAAGTATTTCATATTAATTAGCACTTCTTTTTTCAAACTTTAAATAATAGAGGTAAATAAAAGGTGATCTTTAAGACAAGAAAAACTATGTGTGTATTATTTCAAGTCTTGTCAACTAAGTGATATGATTATGGATACAGCTTAGTTCAAACTGATGATGAAGATATTTATTAAAATTAAGGTACTAACAATATGTTTTTATACAAAGCAGACAAAAATATGAAGTAAAATTATAATGCAAATTTGGGAAGATGATATTTTTAAAATGCACTTATCTTTTTACATTAACTATATTATAATCTATTTAATAGAGTACATATGGATAAAGATCTTGATAAAGTTAATATCATCTAGAGATTTCTTCTTAAAGAAAAAGTAAAGCTAAAATGTCTTAAGTTTGTTAAAAAAATTATACCTGTCGAGCATATTCTTCAAAAGGAGCACCAACAGGAACTACAATGGATTGCCGAGGTGAGAGCCAAAAAGGCCTGCACAAAAAATAAATAAAATAAATAATACAATAAATAACTAAATGATAACAAACAACTAAAAAAAAATAATAAAATTGATAGAAGAAAAAAAAAAAGTCTATAACATCATTATACTTCCCTTTTGCAATTGTATTTGTTTAAAACAAATAAAGATTGTCATTATTTAACAATAAATGTAAGATTAAAGCCTTATTTCTGATGAACGCTTAATTTATTTTTGCACTCAAAAATCAGATGTGACCTTATAATAGAAGCAAACCTCTTCTCAATTTACAAGAGAAACAACATTATATGCTAATTTAACATTTTTTCAATGTGCTAATGCATTTCTTTATGCAGATTTTTTTAAATCTATTTAATATTTAATTAATTAAACAGTTCCTATCATCAAAAATAACTAAAAATTTGGTATTTTTTTTGTTTAGCCAGACACAAGCGTAAGGTAACCAAATAATTTAAGATCTAAACCAAATTGAAAATTCAAGTACGTACGTATTGTATGTGTTGAATTTTACCTACCTACCTACATACATACATACATACATATAAAATCCTCCTCTCCTTTCCTTATTCAATCACATTTTGGCATATGAATGTTCATTGTAAGGTAATAATCATTAGTTATTAAATTTTGTCTTATACAAAATAATTTTTGTAAAAAACCACATATCATTTTGAGCTTTCTTTTAAAAAATACAAAAACTACTAAGAAAATTGCTTGAAAAATTTTAAATTTTTAAGCTATTCAAATTGGACTTTCTTCATCACTACAAAATTAAGAAACTTTTTTTTACCTTTTTTCCATGCATGTTCTGTATAAAAGAACTACTTTAAGTACTTATATATTGCACAGTCTTCAACCAATTTTTTTTCAAATTTCAAAGCAAAAATTTATTAATTAATATTAGTTCAACAAATTTTGTTTAATTTTACAGAATATAATAGCAAAAGAATTAGAAGAGTTATAGCAAAAGAATGCAAAACAAAAAAATTATGCTTTTTATTTTATAAAATGTCCATATCTTTAATAGAATTAGGTTTACGAAACTTTGTGGAAATACAGCATATAACTGTAACAAGTTACAAAGCTATTGCTATATTATTTGGCATAGGGTGTTCGAAAACACTTTTTATAAAATTGTAATTTATTGTCTGTCCTTCAAACCCTCATTGATATGTATGAAAATTTTATGATCTAAACACTTTTGAAGGTATAAAATGATTCTTTAAATATTAAAAAAAAAAAATGTTTCTATGAATCATAAAAAAGTTTTTTTGTGTGATTTGTGAACTGGTTAACTGCAAAGAACCAAAATGTTAGTTTGCTAGTAAAAGTTTTAGTTAGCAACAAAAATGGAAGTTTAAAATATTTATTTATCAATATTTTTCAAAGGTGGAGAAGAAACGAATTTGTCACACATTTCAAAAAGAAATAAAGAATTTTTTTAATCAGAAATAACACATTATTACAAATATTCTTAGAAGAAAATTGAAGACATTTCATAGTAGATAAATTTTAAGGCTAACAATAATCATTCCCAAGTAAAATAATTTACCAGAACAATTTTTACATAATTTATAATAATAACAATCAAATTAAGTAAAGCCATTTTTGTCATCTATTTAATAAATGATTTTGTCAAGAATATGAATGTCTCTGAACGAAATTCATTTGATTTATGAGTAAAAAAAAAGAATATAAAGGCAAAATATTAATTTTCGATGCGAAATTTATAAAACAAAAAAAAAATTTAAAGAATTAAATGCCATATAATAAATATCAATTACCATCAGTGTTGTATTATACAGTTTGCAAAAAAACTAAAATAAATTTTAAAAATTACCATTTTCCAGCATTACTCTCAGTCAAAATAGCAATTACCCTTTCAACAGAACCCAATATAGCTCTGTGGATTATCACAGGTCTTTTATCACCAGATACACTAGAAGTTAACAACAAATTAGTACTTTTTACTGATTTAGTCACAAAAAACTTGCAAGATGAATACATATTGACACAAACCTGTCATAGTGCAGATTGAATCGCAATGGTAGCTGGAAGTCCAGCTGAATTGTTGCACACTGGAACGAACGTTTCAATGCATCTTTTATAGTAATATCAATCTATGAGAAAAAAATAAAGAAGGTTATCCCATTTTGTCAGTTAAAATCCTTAAATATCAAAACAAACAATCCAAAAAAAATAGCTGCCAACATGAATGGTCATTTTACAAGGTGGCAGAAGCCCCCAGTATGACAGCAGGCAGTGCAGATTATTAAAGTACCCGCAGATTATTTTTAATCTATTTTACGAGGGTGTTTCGAAAAGTAAAGATACACTGTACGCCAGAGGAAAAGAAAAGTTTTGGCGAGCAAGTTGGCAACACAGGTTTTAACCTTGAACCGTTAGCTTTCTCCTCGCGGTCGTTCGGCATTTCAACGTTGATTCTGGTTGGAGTAGGTCGTGTTTAAAATGGCTGCGGCGATTCAGAATCCCGCCAAATGCGAAGCGCGCTCCGTCATACGTTTTCTTCATGCAAAAGGTCAGAGACCAGTGGATATTCACAAAGAAATTGTTTCTGTTTATGGGAACGTTATGAATAGACAAAATGTAACGAAGTGGTGTCGTCATTTCTCTGAAGGTAGGACCGATATTCATGACGAACAAAGAACAGGTCGGCCATCTGTGATGCCCTTCTTCAGAGAACGGAGGAAGCAATTCGTGCGAATAGACGTCTCAAATTGAAAGAATTGCGCCAGATCATACCGGAAGTGTCAATGACAACTCTTTATGAGGTTGTGACTGTCAAGTTAGGGTACAGGAAATTGTGTGCGCGCTGGGTTCCAAAAATGTTAACAGAAGAACACAAAAAGAAAAGGATGGGCTTTGCACTCGACTTCCTCACACTCTATGCAGAAGCAGGTGATGAGTTCCTTGATCACATTGTGACAGGTGACGAGACTTGGGTTTATCACCATACACCTGAATCCAAGCAACAATCAATGCAATGGCGCCATTCGAATTCACCCAAAGCCAAGAAATTCAAAACTTCGATTTCAGCGAAAAAAATCATGGCTTCTGTTTTTTGGGACAGACTTCTGTTGGAATTTATGCCTCCCGGAACGACAATTAATGCTGCTGCATATTGCCAAACTTTGAAAAGTCTTCGAAGGGCAATTCAAAACAAATGCAGGGGAATGCCGACAAATGGAGTCCGCTTGCTTCTTGACAACGCTCGGCCTCACACGGCGCTCGTAACCAAAACACTACTCAAACAATTCAAATGGCAAGTATTGGACCATCCGCCATACAGCCCGGACCTTGCGCCCAGCGACTTCCATTTATTCCTTTACCTGAAGTCACATCTTGGTGGAAAATCATTCCACGACGTTGATGAGATCAAAGATGAAGTTGAAATGTGGTTTCAACAACAGGCGGCAACCTTCTATGACTGTGGGATACAAAAGCTTGTGCACCGACTTAACAAATGCTTGGATAACGGGGGTGATTATGTCGAAAAATAATAAATAATCAAGTTAATAAGATGTAACTGACGTTTTCTAAATAAATGTTTTTTTTAAGGAATGCGATCCATTGTATCTTTACTTTTCGAAACGCCCTCGTATTTTCAAAAAGCAAACAAATAAATGGGAGAAATTCACTAAAACTCCTTTTTAAAATAACTATAAAACTGCATTGAAAGAACACAGCAAAGAATAAAAAGTAAAGGACTTTCTTTCTGTTACTTGATTACAGGTTAAATTGTATAGTCATCTATTCCTTTATTTTATTAACACGGTACAAAATGCAACTTAAATTTAACCTCTTTGCGATGGGGGTAAATCATATATGCATTTAGTACGGATTTATCTCAAAGCCGGGCGGTTCACCCTTGCATTGCAGAGCTAGTCCAGTGAACAGGTAGTGCATCTATGCATTTTAAGCAGAAATACAATTATTCAATTTAAACTGAATATAGTCTTAGTATTTTGACCTTCAGATTGATCATATTCTGCCTGTCTTTGGCATTTTGCTCAATGGTTGTGGAGGGGAGAATTGCAATGCAAACAAACAGAGCTCAGCTCTATAACTTTCCACGTGATATAAACATTCTCGCTTCCGATAGCTCTCCGAGATTTTTTTTATTACTATTTTTGCTACTATGTGGAGGTCTCTTAGGCTTTTAGAATCAGTTTTCTTAGTTTGATTTCGGATATATTTTGCGCACTTCTCTTTCGGAAAGCTGTGATTCCAGATTATTAGGGCGAGAAAACATTATTTACCAAAGGATGAATATACTCGTATGATAAAAAGAATTAGGAGTACAAAAAGGTAGAAGAAAGCCATAAAAAGAGCATAGTTTCTTCACAAATAGTGCTGAAAGAAAGAAAACACAGCAAATATTTTATGCTTGCAAATCATGCAATAGAGGACTTTGCGTTTCTCTGTGCTTCAAGATTTTCCACACTCAGTCTTTATTTTAAATTTTGTTATTTCTTCTTGTCAACAGCCTTTGCGTATATTTTTAAATAATTTGAAAGTATATTAATGTTTCTTTACACATTTTTATGTAAATTGAAGGAAAAGCATTATTGTAGTATAGTTTAAATGTATATGACAGATTATGTAATAATCTAAAATGGTATCAAAAATTAGGTAAGACTAAAACTTTATTATTATTTTTTTCTAAACTTAGGCTTGGTGGTGCAAAATCCTCACTCAATAGCATAATTCCTTTCACTACCGCTTCATCTCAAGAAAGTGTCCTAAAATAAAGTTGTCCAGGCGCAAGAGCGCTGAAGACGAGGAAAGAGATACCGATGAAGAGAACCAAAACAATTGCTGATAACTGCCAAAACAACAGCAGAAGGCTATAAAGCATTTAAAACAGTGAGGAACCTAATATACTCCTGCGATCCTAGAGAAAATGAACAGTAATCTTTTCTAAATCCCACAAATTAATTGTTCGTGCTGAGAAGAAAGCAGCAAGTTCAAATCAAAATTTTGAAATATCTGAATGAAAGAAATGTGTCTATTCGTCTTTCTTTTGCATTGTAAAATTGTATGCATTAAATACATAAAGTTTTTCAATTAAATTCTTTTTATTCTTATTGTAAATTTATTATTTTTTCCAACACCATTATTTCTTTGTTATTTTTCATACATTTTGCATCATTATTTTATATTGGTTGCATTCCCGTATGTGTGAGGAAGTGCGTGAGAGTGGTGCCACGAGAAACGATTAATAGAGGTTCTACTGAGCTAAGAATTTTACTTAGCCAATATTTAAAAATACAATTGCTTAATTAATACATCTCATAAACACATGTACACTCACTATACTACAATAACAGAACAGACACTTTCAGTTTTTTAGGTTTCTCTTAAATTTCTCAAATACTTAGGATTATTTTGTAATTTTAGGTGTTCAGTTCATGCAATTTTTCATGCTTAGCAACTTTTTCAAACTTGGCTATAAAGTTTTTAGATGCTTGAAGGACCGGGAAAGAAGGACCATTATGAAAGAAAACAAGTACTTTTTAAAACCCAACACCAGAAAATTAAGCAATAAGCTTGTAACTCACATTGATTACTTTGGTTTTTATTTCCAATAACTGCATAAAATTTCGTAAACCTAGCTTAATTTTTTTAATAAAATCTACTTTTTTTATTTTATATTATTTACTATAACAAAATCATAAAGAAGAGATAATTTGTATATTTAGTATAACGAAATTTAAAACTTACTTTAGGGCCATAAAATGCACCGTCTCCAGGATTTAAAGTCCATGATTGACCAAAAGCATCTAAACTTTCTGTTAATTGCTGGAAAAATATTTGAAATCAAAATTACAAAAAAATTGCTTCACACAATAAACAAAAATATAAGGAAAACATACATAAAACTCAAAGCTGGTTAATTGTTAAAGGAAGACGACTATATTAAAAGCTTAATAAAGGAAAATGATAATCACTTTTGTAATAACAAAACAATAAATTTAAGCCCAAATGAAAAAAGGGTATACTTTGTATTAAAATAAAACTGAGCGACATGAATTAAGCACAAAGAAGTAAAAATAGATAATACTGATACCTTTTCTGCATCATTCCAAACTTCTAGATCTCCAAGATAATTTTCAGGTCTAGTTGACAAATTCAATTCAAAAGTGAATCCTAGCACATCATAGACATGTTTCAGAAATTCAAGACAAGATTGGATTTCAGAAGAAATCTAAAATAAAAATGAAATATTCAATAATAAATGACACACCAAAGGACATTTTTGCTCAATATAATTAATATGAATTAAATTACTTACATTAATTATAAATTAAAATTTATGCTAATATTTTTATAACCAACTTTAAAGAAATACCTCAGATATCATATTTGACTAACAACAAGGGCCTTTATATACATTATTTATTCATGTTAAAATACTTAGTTTTTTACCTTGCTAAATGTTTAACATTTCATTAAACTATAGATCACACTATTAAAAAGAAAAAAATTTATCTTCACACAGATTTTTTTTTAAAGCTAAGATAATTGGTTAAGATTAAGATCCAGAAATAAAATCAGAAGATTAAGATTGGATAAGCTTAAGATTTAAAGTAAATTTAAGATTCAGAAGTAAATTTGGAATATTAAAATAAAATGTGGTTTTTAAGATTGTGTTTTAAAACTAGGCATTGGCTGAGTTTTTAATACAAATCACATTTTCTGGGAGAAAAAAAATTTATATTCAATAACTACTTTTTTCAATGTAGAAATGGAGAAAAAAAAAGCTTTATAAAACCTTTGGTTTGTTCGTTATTCGCATTCTGAAAAAATCAGTGATTGAAAAAATATTTAAAATGTCAACTTAAAAATTTCAATCATTACATATTTGCTAATTGAAACCTATTAGATTTACAATATACTTCAAAACTAAAGACCAATAAAAAATTGAGCAGCCACATAATTTTAGGTAGGTTTTGAGATTTCTTCAAGGTTCCAAAAACTCCTTTTAAAAAATTAATTAATTAAATTGAAGATTTTTGTTAATTAAAAAAATATTAATTTAAATCTTGATTTAAATGAACGAACCCTGAATGAAATAGTAGTTTATCTTCTGCCCAAAATTAGGGAACATATGTATTTTATTCTAAGATTTTAAATTACAAGTGATATGTATAAAATTACATAATTTTACCTTTGTTGTTAGCAAAAAACATTGATAAAATTGACACTATTTTTAAATACTGATATTTTTCAAATAAAAAACGAGTATATCATTTTATAAGAAATATAACTATCAATTTACACATAAAAAACAAATATATAAATAAAAAAGCAATTAGTTAATAAAAATATAATTAAAGTAGATAAATATGAAAATAATACTAACATATGCCTCACCAGTGCCCATTATTAGAGTAGGACAAAATTAAAATAAACAGTCATGATAGATCACCAAAATTTCACAGACAAAGAAAAAAATCTTATATCTACTGAATATCTGTAACAAAAAAATAAATATTTTGATCTCTTTCTTGTTTTTAACTTGGAGAACTTAAATCGATGATGACTTGCGAAAATTTTCTTTATTTGTCTGAAATATTATGGGGGACTTTTAGAGATTTCTAATTATTGAGGGGGGCGTACTTCTCCCTGCCTTAAGAATTTATTGTTAAAGAGAGCAAAAAATTTTCTCAAACTGAAGTAATAGTAAGTCATCAAGTACTTGTAATAGTAATTCATCAAGTCATCAAGTACTTGTGTCAGAAAAGTTGCTTAAAATTATTTTGAAGATGTGGTTTGAGAATAGGGTTAAAGTAAAAAAGAGAAAACATATTTGAAGTAAACAATAACTATGGGATTGTCTTCAACTAAATACAATTCTCTAGGAAATTAATGAAATTATATTTTGTAATATAACACTTAAGAAAATTTCCTTAAGCAAAGCTAAATTAAAAGTTATATAAAACGAAAATAATATAAGTACTGGGCTTACATTTAATCCAGGCTCATTTCAACTGTCTCATTAAATATTAAAATCGTTTACATTTATTGATTGGGGAGGATAATTTGGCAATAAGAGTAAAAAAATTTCAATAAAAAAAATGTAGGGCCGGGATAGCCTGGTCGGTAGAGCGCTGGGCCCATATCCAAGAGGTCGTGGGTTCGATCCTCGCCGGCCAAAGACTCCCCGTGTAGTAAATGGTGACTGATGCACGCTAAATCTGTCGAGTCTCAAAGTCCTCCATGTTCCCACAACAAATCAATACCTCTGAGGGTACTGATCCAGGAGTTTCCTTGTCTTCTGGATTGGTTCAAAATTACAAGGCTACGGAGTTGAACGTAAATAGTCGTGAACCCATGAAATTGGGTCGGCTGTTCAACGACGGTTATAAAAAAAAAAATAAATAAATAAAAAAAGCTCCTGANAAAAAAAAAAAAAAAAAAAAAAAAAAAAAAAAAAAAAAAAAAAAAAAAAAAAAAATGTGTTTTGCAAAATTATTATAAAAGAAAATTTAATTAAACTTTTTTTAGCAATTAATTGCATCACAATTCTTGACTCTCTATTTGTATAAAAAAATTAAATTTTTTGAGGTATATCTACAGTAAAATAAAACCTTTTTTTATTAAAAATTTACATTTTGTTTTCAATAAAAAAGAAAACCATTTTAAGTAAAACATACATTATTAGACCTTTAAATTAAGTGATAAATAAACTTTATTATTGCATAATAAGTAAGTAAAAAGATCTTTAGAAATAAAAGAAGTGTTTTTATTTATACCTGCTCAGGAGCACAAAAGATATGTGCATCATCCTGCTGAAACCTTCTAACTCTTGTCAGTCCTGTTAAAGCACCAGATATCTCATTTCGATGCAACACGCCAAAGTCAGCTAGTCTTAGTGGCAATTCTCTCCATGAACGTGGACGGTGGTCAAATATGAGACTGAAATGTAAAGCGAACTCTTTAAACTCGAAAATCTAAGTAAAAATTTCTTCAATTGGATAATATAATGAATTATTATTACTCAACTAGTTAATTTACAGTAAAAAAATAAGAGGGACTATGCATCAATATTTTGTAAAATATTAATATTTTTTAACGTCAAGATAACAAAATTGCAAAATAGAGTCTTTTGATGCATTATAAACTTTATGTCTTACAATAAGAATTAAATATTTGATTATTTTTGTGAATCATAATGCAAGTGAATTTATTATTGACAACAATAAATACTGAATAAAATAATGTTGCAAGTAATATCTGCAATTATCAAATACAATATATAATTATTAAATAATGCAATCTTTATCGACAATTATAAATATAAAATATCTGTCAAATATACTATGTAACAAAATTGCTAGTATTATCACGAGTAGTAAAAAATTTCATGCAAATAATAAAAATATAGGATGGAAAAAAATTTCCATAATGGCTTTACTAAAATACTTAAATGTGGAAATAATAATTTTGGGTCATTTTAAACTTTTTATAATATATTTTGTTAACTGCATATTGAAATAATTTAAGTGTTAATATGAAAACTTGCTACTTACCAATGTCCAGGGCAATTCATTGGCTTCAATGCAAAGGTTTGCTTTTCAACTTCAAAGGAAAACATGTTTTCCTGTCAAAAAATAAATAAATTTTAAAAAGAAAACATAAAAATCTAAAAATTCAAAAATTATTTAAAATATAAAAAAAATTGCCAAAACATAACATCAATAAGAGTTTTTTTAATAATAAAGCTTAGTACAGTTAAATAAGTAAACTATATGTAAAAGTATTCTTTGCTCTTTTACTATGCATTTATTTCAAAGAAATAAAAATTCAAAACAATTATTATTGAACATAACGCTTCAAAGTATAGCATAAGTAAGTTTAAAAAAGAAATGGCATTTAATGAATTGCAAACACATTTGAAAACTATACTTACTGAATAATGTTGCCAGTGCCCGGAAGTTTCCCAGAGTTTACTGTTATACACATTTGGTGACACAACTTCTTGAAAACCTCTCTTTTTGTACTCTTCCTTAAAAATTACAATAATTTCTCATCTATAATTTTGTACCATTTTCATAAAAATCAAAAAATGTCAGAAAAATCAAAATATTTTAGCTTATTTTCAAAATAGTGAATTACTTTACTACTAGGAAAACAAAATTAATATTCCTTATTAATATATTAATTACCAATCCTAAACTGTTTTTTAGGAATATTTTAATAAAAACTTATTTATCCTCATGTTACTTTTACTTTTGCAACAACAAAAATTGGTATAATAAGTCACTTTAGAAAATATTTTAAGGTTTTGTGAATTTGCATGAAATTTAAAGTTCATCTTTTCTCAACCTGACAAGCACTGACACACAGTAAAATATTTAACTCGCAAACAAAATTATATTTGATGCTCTATAACAAGATTTAAGATAATTACAAATGCTTTGTGGTTATCATCAAAAATATATATATATATATAATAATAATAATAATTAACCACTTTAAATTCATGACCATTATTTTAAAAAGACAAATAATTGCATCCAAATAAAAAGGAAACTTCATTAGTTAAAAAACTAAATATATCTAAATAAATATATAAGTAATGAAAAAAAAAATAACTAGCAGTATTTAAAATTTTCTTTGCAACTTAGGACCTAAGTTGTTTGGCAAAGATTTCATATTGTCCTGTAATGCACTTAGCAGTTTTAAGACTTTTTTCTTTAGTTATCAAGAAAACTAAATATCTTACTCTAATGAAAGCTATAAGCTCATTATAAATATGTGCACCCCTTGGTTGGAAAAAACAGCTTCCCGGACTGAGTTCATGAAAGAAAAACAGCTCCTGTTCCTACAATAAAGAAACAAAAAATTATGAGGATAATTTAAGCCTCAAGAAATGTAAAAGTAAAAATATATTGTTATTCCAGCTCACACTTTTGTTACTCATAGACACTTTTTAGTCTTTCTCTTAACATTTTTACTTAATAATTGCAATACATATTGTATTTGCTTCAGCTTTGTATCCAATCAATTGCTTTGTTACTGTGAATTCTAAAAATGATTTTTGGCTTGTTGCATGAATTTCCTAGGTTTTAATTATATGTATCCATATATAATCAAAAAGCTATGTTTATGGATATATGCAAAAAATTATATGTTTCCTGAAAAAATCAAATTCCTTGATAATTCTCATTACAATATTCCCTGAATAATGAGAATTTTGAAAAGATAGTCATCACAGAGTACTTATTGAGGAATCTGATCAAGTTTCCCCCAATGAATCACAATATTTTAATGTAAAAACTTTTAATAATCTATTTAGACATACTTTATACAAATAAATAAAAATCAGGTTATTATTATTACTTTATTATTACTTTTAATAAAAAAAAAAATATCTATTTTATTGAGCCAAGAAAGTAAGCATAATCCCTGAAGTAATACACGAGAAACTTGATACAAAGCTAAACAATAGAAAATTATAAAATTAACAATTTCACACTAAGACAAAATAAAGTTTTGTATCTATGAAAACAAATATACAATTTCTAATACAAAAACGAATTGAATAATTTATAAAGTGCTTATTATAAAAAGCAAAAGGATTAAAATAAAAAAAAGATCTATCGATGGCAATTTAACAAATTATGTATTAAACTGAAATAAACATTACATAATATCGCCTAAAACCATCTAATAATTTTTGAAATATTACCATGAGGCAAATAAAATTAAAAACTATTTTGTATAAAAGTAAAATGCAAATTCTTATATTGAATAAAAAATATATTACCCTTCCAATTTTTCTGTGGTCACGTTTGGCAGCTTCTTCTTGGAATTTCTGCCATTCTTTTAACTGCTTGCTATCAGGAAATGAGATTCCATAGACCCTCTGGAGTGATTCAGCATCTTGTTTACCTTCCCAGTAGGTTGCAGAATTCTGTAATAATTTTTAATTTATAAAAAATGTGCTATTTAAGTATTATAACCTGCCTCAACCAATGACTTTAAACCAGCTAGTAAAAATACCTCAGAGATAAGTTAAATATCTAAAAAATTTCTACTTATAAGAATAGAATAAAATAAATCTTCATTACCTTCACAATTTGTAATGCTTTCACTTTTCCTGTGTGCCTCACATGGGGACCCCTACATAAATCAATCAATGGACCACACCTAAAAAGAGAGACAAAACATTTAAAACAAATTATTGAAATGGAAAGGGAAAAAAATAAATAATCATAATAAGACCTTAATGATGTATGCCATAATTTTCCTCAATATAAAATTTTCTCATTGAATTAAAGGGGGGAAATGGGTTTTATTACACCCCTTTTGCGAGAGGGCTGGAAATAGGTGACTGAAAGCAGTCTTCTGACACCACATTCCTGAAAAAAGTCTTTTCCCATTTACACCATTCCAGAAGTTAAGACATTGCAAGGTGAAAAATAACACAGTGATGCAAAGACCCAATCATCATGTGCATAAATTCCACCCTGAAACAAAGTTGTCTCGACTCAACAATGCTTGCCAGAAAGCTAGGAGAATCGGAGGTGAAAATCTTATTTTTGTTCCTCTTGTGACATCATATGTCTGATGTCAGGCCTGGTGTAAATGGGGAGTCAGGAGGAATAAAAGGTGACACATTTAGGCACTACAGAACAGAAAATCTACAGTAACACTAATTTCATAAATGGAATATTGACATCAATGAGGTGAGCATGTTTTTTCTTGCACCACCCTATTATGCTAATTTTTTTTCAACTTTTTATCTCCTAACAGAGACGGTAGAAACGCCACATAATTTTGTAAGTGGACAATGCCTGAGCGACTACTCTTCATTCAAAATCTTCACACCAACAAGAGAGCTTTCTACCACGACCGATTTAATATCCACCAAGCCATGCAAACAAGCTGGTCGTTTAGTTTGCTGTCAGAATCAAGATTGTGACCCCTAGCTCTTTACTAGTCACCTATTTACTAATGGTGTAAACAATGTCCTAATCCAGTGTGCTAATAGAGCATAAATGGTATCTCCTGTTTTAGTGGTGAGAATTTATGTTTATGTTATTATTTAAGAGGCAAACAATTTAGGTGAAATAATTTACTGTTAAACAAATGTAACAAATAGTGTGTTATGTAATCTTGCTTTTGTAAATATGTAAGGAAATGTATTATGCAATGCATGGTTCTACCTTTTAATCAACTCGAAAACTATAATCTGGTCAGTTTGGGTTCTAGGTTAAAAATTTCATTTCAGTTACTACATAGTATTTTTTTTTACAGGCCTTTGATGATTAAAGTATCGCCTAATAGCAAGTCTTTGAAAAATAAAAACTTTTTTTCCTTAATTAAGAGGAATAACACACAAGAATCAAGAACTCGTGTAAGTAAACTAAATTTCTGTGCATAAAATAAAATATTTTGCCAATTAATTTGTAAATAGGACAAAGCAGTTTATTATGTTTGTTATTGAAACAATATAGGCAAACAAAAAAATTACATTTGAATTATTTGTTTCAGTATTTAAAAATTTGATTGATTGCAAGTCAATTAAGCGAAGTGTGCATGTTAATTATTAATACTTATAACTTTGGATAAGTCCTTATAAAAATAAATAAAATGTTCATAAAACTAAAGTTGCTCTGGTTTGCCAACTGACTCTGCTGTTTGCAACCCTAAATTACAATGTTTTAATCGGGATGCAGTCTTATAATTGAAATAACTAAAATTGCAAACACAAGAAAGAAACAAAAAAAGCTTAGAAATAAATATCAATTTAGAAAAATAATGATCAAGAGAGAACTGAAGAACTCTGATTAAAATAGTTATAAACCACTCTTTTTTCAAAGGTGATATTTTTACCACTAAAGTGGTTCTTAGTATTGTTCATCATTAGGTATTTTTACATAAAATTTCGAAACCCATATAGGATAGCAAAATAACTTAACTCTAGAACAATTTGAAAATGTAGCCTGTTATTATGTTGTCCCAAGACCTTATAACTTTCACGAGGTATTGCAACCCAATGTTCCTAAAAATTCTTTATTTATCAACGAAAGCTAGAAATAATAGAATGTACCGATAATTTAAAAAACAGTACATAAATTAGGAACACAAAAAAACTGATTTCATAGAAGATAATAGTCATAAAAAATCCTTCGTTGATAAAGACGAATTATTAATAATGGCAATAGCGTAACTCTGACAAAAAACAAGTGATAAATACTATACCTAAGCTTCAATAAATAAATATATATAAATATAAATTTTAATAATAATTACCTATAGATAGTTGTGGATGCAGTTTTAACTTTCTCATTTAAAATACGAACCTTAAACTTGTTGTACTAAATAAAAGGAATAAAAAAATAATTAGCAATAAATCAAGAATATATGTATCAATCAGATAATAAATAATATGACATACCTTAAACATTTCTAAAAGATCTTCCTTAGATACTTCTAATCTTATAAAAGGCTGCTTTTCTTTAGTTATTGATTTAACTACATTCTCTATTACCGGATATTCATTTTTAGAGACTGGAATACAATCTGTATACATGTCATAGTAGAATCCTGATTCTATGGGAGGACCATAGCAGAGATGCCCTCCATAGATTCTTTCCATAGCTTCTCCCATCATGTGGGCACTTGAATGCCAAAAAACTTGCTTCCCTAATAAATGAAACAATTGCAATATCACTTGGGAATGAAAAGAAAAAATTATCAATCTATATCCACACAAATTTACTTATAAACCTTATCTGGGAATAAATTTTTAGAGTCTTTTCAGTTTAACAGCATATACTTTTTTTGTAACATTTTCAATGCTTTAAAGAAGAAATTTGTATAATATTTCCTTCTTTTTTTAAATTTTACAGCAGCAATTCAGAAACCATAAAGCAGTTTAATACTTTTTCTATAATAATTAAAACTTGGGATTATGTTTAAAAATTAAGCTTTTCAATTTAGCATAATTTACTAATCAAAATATATAATGATTTACAATTATTTATTTTGCTTTTTTTGCAAACTAGATCAAAATTTTGGTTTGTTTAAAAATACAACTTAAGAAATGAATAAATAAATAGGTTGTAGTATCTTTTAACCCACTGCAGTTTTTTAAAAATAACCTTTATACAATGTAATCTTCAATTTACAGAAGTTAAAACATGAAAGAAAAAAAAACTAATGTGACATAAACATATGATGGTTTAAATAGAATAATGAAGCACTTTAATTAGTGTTTAAAAAAAACATATCAAAGGAGGAGAAGAATACAGAGATTTAAAAAAAACATGATGTAAGGAAAAGAGGATTGACGAATACAAGATTGAATACAAGATTGACGAATACAAGATTGAGGGCGAATACAAGATTGAACAAGATAGTTAAGCAGGCTGAAGGTAAAAGGAAAAATGTGATGGGGTGGATGTAGAGTAAAAAAAAAAAAGACATCAAAGGCTATAGAAATTAAAATAAAATAGATTTCCAAACATTTTAAAAAAGGATGTTAATAAAGGTCAAATCTTAGAATTTTCAAAATTTGGTATGATTCCTAGAAATCTTGGTCAGTGTCTGATTAGTAGACACAAAGTAATATTACCTTCCTCACTGTCAAATTTCTTCAACTCCAATTTGCAGTCTTTCTCGAGAGGACGATCTAAATCCCACAATTCATTATTGACCTTGGCAATCACAACATTATCTGCAAGTCCTTGACTAAAAAAGGAAAATAAAATGCATATAAAAACCATCAAATAGTTATGTTTAAAAAAGCAAACACAATCGACTAGATATTGAATTATATTAAACTTTCTTCATTTAAAAGTTGAACTGGTATTTGAATAGTTATTAGTTGACAACTGTAATGGGTCAATTTCAGTTTTTTCCATTTCATCATCTAATTTTTTCTGTTCCCCCCTCTTTCTTTTAGTGTCTAGGAGAAAAGGGTTTCCGAAGAAATCTTACCCTTGGTATAAACACTATTACAGGGTGCGTAGCCAAATCTTTGAATCAAAAATAAGCACTTTTTAAAAACTTTTCAAGCACTTTACAAAAGTTTTCAAGCACTCAAAAAATTCATATTCAATCAATGATATTATTGAAAAACAAAAACTTTTTATAAACAGTTTTAGCGTTAAAAAAAAAACCCAAAAAGAAACGGGCGTAAATCAAAACAATCAGTACTTTCCCACATCACCGAGTGAATTCAACTTGACCCTGAACTCAGAACAAAAGTACCCTTACCCCCTACGTCAAAAAAAGTGTTAGAAGTAAAATAAAATAAACAAGAACAAAATTAAAATAAATTAAAAAGAAAAACATTTCATAAGGATCTGATACTCTCTATCCGAATTGGAGCACTCTGGTTTCTGTTTCAAGTGTGCGCGCATGCGCAAGTCATAACGTGGGTACGACATGAAGTCCGCGTGAATAATTACGTAGCTAACTCCCCATATTTTGTGAAATGCATGGGATCCAGGAGATATCACTGAAGGGAAGAAAAAAAATTATTCGAAAAAAAAGCACTTTTCAAAAACACCAGCTGAAAAAAGCACCTTTAAAAGCTTTTAAAAACGAAATCCACAAAAAAGCACCTTTAAGTACTTTTTACAAACGCTACGCACCCTGTATTATTACTTATTTTGAATAGTTACTGCCAGAGTTAGATAAAATTAAAAACTTTACACAAATACAAAATCTTAATTAAAAAAACTTTCTGCACATATTAATTAACTCTTGTAACTAACAGTTTTGATCCTTTTGTTGCTACCTCCTTTAGGTAAACCCATCACTTAAACTATCGTTTAAAAATAAATTTTTTTTTTTCAAAAATGTTTCATTTTTATAGAGCTTTACATTGATTCATACCACAAGGATGAGTTTGGTAAAAAAAAAAATGCTGAAAAAGGAAATCCAAAAATTTTATGTGCAAAAACACTTCTTAAATAATTGAAAAGCAAGAAAAAAGTATAAGTAGGAAACATTTTATCCAAAGAATGTTTTCAACATTTTAATAAAAATACTGCAAGATTTTATTTATTTATTTATTTAAACTGTGTAAAAATGAATCTTAATGTGTGACTTTTAAGTTATGTGAATACGAATCTTGACATCTAATTTAAAAATCATGTAAATATGAATCTCAATGTGTAATTTTAAAATCGTGTGAATGCCAATCACTATGTTTGATTTTAAAATTATGTAAATACAAATCTTATGAATCTCGTTAAAGTCAAGTGAATGCAGATTTTGATGCATAATTTTTGAATATGAAAATTTTTGAATACAAACTGCAATATTTGATATAAAATTCTGAAAAAATTAAACACAATGTGCAATCATAGACGGCATAAATAGGAATTGTGATGTGTGATTTTAAATCACGTGAATGTAAATTTAAATAACTTAAGAATTGGTAGGAAAAAACATAAAATCAAATCTCTTTTCCTGGTAATTTGAAAAAGACAAATTATAAAGAGACAGTTTTATATACTTTTTCTTTATTTTCTTTATTTATATTTCTGCGATGGTGACAAATGTTTTACGAACAGCATTTGTGTATATCATACAGGTCTGCTATTTGCTAACTACCAAACTTGCAATGTTTCTGAAAATTTGGACCAGTTTTGTTATATTTAAGTTCAAACTTTGACATCAAAAATACAACCTAGCTAATGGCAAATCTTAAGTTTACTGGATTTAAAATTAACATTAAGATTGCTACCTAATTCCTTGAGCTACTTGATATGGTGTAGTTCTCCATGACTGTCCATCAACGACTTTTCCATCAGGTAATGTTATTTTAATATCCTCTGGTGTTTTACTGGCTAATTCTTCTTGATATTTTGCATACAGCTTATCCCACATCTGTATTCTTTCTTCTATAAACTGAGGCCAAGGTTTCAGCTGAGACAAATTAGAACATATTATTTATAATTAAATTATCTTCTTCCACAACAAACAGTTATTTCTAAAATCAATAAATGAGACAACTAACTATGCCATAATATAAAAAATAAAATAAAAGTAATTTATCAAAAAAAGATGAAAAGATTTTTAAAGATAAAAATAAAAAATAAATTCAATCACCAAAAAAACAAAATTATAAATTATAATTATGTTGATGAAAAAATTTATATGTGTACCTACATATTTAAAAAAAAACTTATTACTTGAAATATTTGTGTTCTTAAGTTGGACTTAACATAAAACCTTCTTATTCAAAATGAAAATTACTATTTTTACTATACTTAACTATATTATATATCATACATCGGCTACTTCTGATTTAAATGGGGCACTCGATAGGAACAAAAGCTTATTTTGAAGTGCCATGCTATATTTAATAAAACATATTTTTATTATAAAATGTGAAGTTTTAAGTTCAAAAGCAGAAAATTTCATTTTTATTTTAATTAATGATACATTAATGCACTGTTGCAGCATGTTGACAATACATTACAAAATGGTAAGTAATTTTATATTGATCAATATAGGTTTACTATCTTTAGTTTTTGAGCAAAAGAGAATAATTATTATAACAATTTTTTCTTTGCATTAGAAGTCAAAAATTTTATACAATAAGTTTAAAAGAAAGAAAAATTATTGGACATCATTACAAACATGTACTGATATCCAAGATACATATTGTGCTGGTTATCACAACACAACATTCTAAAATAAACAGTGATAAAGTCTCATATTTTAAGTGAGAGCTAGTACAAATAATTTGCAACATTTATAATGTAAGAATGAAATCAGTTTTTATAGAAAATTTTTAATATCTGTCTGTATCAAAGAGAGTGATCAAATTTGGGAATATTTCTGCATTGTGATCTACGCTAAAATGATGGGAAGTAACCTGATAGAAACTATAAAATATTGCAGAATATGTCGAATTTGAAGGTTTTAACTCATGAACATGCCCTAGGAAAATCTCTGCAGATTTTTCTTTTTAAATTTTCAAATTCAAAATAGCCTTAGTAATTATTAAGTCAAGCCTTTGGCAATTGTAGCTGGTGCCACAAATTAAGATACAGAAATATCCTTAATTTTTTAAGGGTTTTAGGCCTTGAAAGTTCACTATAAGTTTTAATCATTTCACACAATAGCTTAGAGCCATTGCTCAAATCAAAAATTACCATGCATCACCAACCTGCAAACTTTGATTGCATGCCACAAATAGATATATTTATATCAACGGAACTGCTAAAATGTGATATTTCTATGCATGCCACAAATAGAAAAATAAGCTTGTGCAATGGATGGTGCTTTCTACACTAGGGAACGCTGCAAGCTCCATGCCGCCTATACATCTGGATCACTGTTTCTGGTGCATTTTAAAGCCATTTAGCTCACAATGTGATAATTGTGTTTTGAGTTTCTAGCAAACGTGGTATTTGATTACTTATTACTTTTGTTTACAATGCTAAAGGTGCCAACACTAACGTAAGATGGTGCACAGCTTGCAACATGAACAAATGGATAGAAGCCAAATCAGGACTGCCAAAAAAGCGAGTTATTCAAAATCAAGCAACCATGTCACCTTTTTTAACAATATATCTATAAATAACTAAAACAATTTTTCACTTCAAACTCACTAAAATTACTTAATAACATTAATATCTTATGAAATACGTCAGATTTGAGCTCCGAAATTATCTAATTTACTTCTTCTATTGAAAACAAAATTATCTGTTTGAAAATATCGCCTCGCAGAATAAGCAGTCGCAAACTTTCTAACCGGAACTAGAGCAGGTACTGCTTGTCTAAGATAGGTACTCTTCCCGCCACAATGTCTGTGGCAGTCTGGTGCTATGGCAGTGTATTCATTGCAGAAAAAAATGGGAGAGAATTTCTCACCCTTTCTCAAAAACAGGGTGAGATTTCAAAAAGTTAAGTGAGGTTTCTAAAAATTAAAAGAACACAAATAGACTTGGAAAAAAAATTATTTCTTTAATTATAATACATTTTTCACATCTTCTAATTGAATATTTTTGCTGCATCATCATATGGAAAATGTTCTATATCTACTTTTTCATCGGCTATTATACTTATTTGGCTGAAAAATATCCGTATTTGTTTCGCTTTGACCGCTTCTACCGACATTTGTTTCATTTTCAATTGTCCGTTACGGGGTAGAAGATGTCGCCTTAACAAGGTATTTGTCCATCTTACATTCATGCACAAAAAATGCAAACGTCTTACATGAAGAAACCTTACCTACGGTGAACACGTGGTTGCAGAGAAATGTGTTCTGAAAGGGATTCCGTGGTTCGGGGGG